GTGCCTTGGGCCACTTGACCTGACCTCCGAAGTCATCGGCTGACCCTGGTCCTTAAATCGGAGAACAATCGCTGCATTTCGTAACGACGCACACGATCGTTTCTTTCGTGAGGCTCTAGCTCAATTAGGGGCGAATCGGCGAAGGGGGTTGTTTCCTCACTTCCAACCCCCAACGTCCCTCGGTATTCAGAAAACCTGAAGGTCCGGTGAGGGTTAAAACGTTTCTCCTGAACGAGGAAGAAATGTAAAAGTCAAAGCTCTATAGACGTCCTGTAAAAGTGGCCATAATAATAAATTCGTTAGAAATAAGTTGCTTTATAAACGACTTCCTCATATAAAATCGGGTGCTGGGACCAATCTTATAAACGCTTTAGAATGGACAGGGCGTCACTGGCTTAAGTTTGGGTGCAGAAAACGGAGCTATTACCTAAATGCAAAATGGTTTTCATGCATTTCAGTCCATTGTATATTGTCGGTCCCAGTGGCCGAGCTAAAAAAAAAAAATCGGTAGTGTTTTGCATCTTTTACGCCCTAAGAAACTACACCATCTATCGAAGTGGGCGAGCTGATTTGAATGGGAGGGCGCATTATGCACGAATCGAGTGCTTTCGTTTATTTTGGACTGTATTTTACCACATCCACTGCTGGTATCACTATTAATATTATCTAATGCCGTGAATACGACAGCATTCCATTTATAAGATTGGGCCAATGGAGTCGCGCCCCGCGAGCTCGGTTTTCCGCTGGGCCGCTACAGGCCAGGAAGTCGGTCTTCGCCTGAGGGCAGGACAAAGGTCAGCGAGGGAGCGCGGGGTCAGCCAGGTATCGCCAAGTGCCGAGCGGATGCCGCTCCCTCCCCTCTCTTCCCCTCTTCTCCCCTCCCCACCTCGGTATAGATGGGGAGGGACCGAACTGCCAATGACATGCGAGCGGTCAAGGCCGCTCGCGCGGCAGCGACCCTGGCGGCCGGATGCCGCAACTGGGATTCAGCCAAGTTACCGATTCGCCTCCTGTGGGAGAGCCAAACCAGGGGACATACTTTTTAGATATACTGTACAAATGCATTTCTTGATGTTATAGAGATGCACCAAACATTCTGAAGTTTGCCTCATTAGGTACTTATCCCTGCTTAAAATGTCTATGCATGTCAGTAGGCATCCACCACAGAATGTATTTCCATGTAGGGGAGTGGGGCAAAGCTGCCACGGTAGGGTGCAGTGCGCATATCAGTGGCAGATACCCCTTCGCACTTCTGATTGTGCAGGACTCACTCTTGCACTGGCTCATTTGTCACCCCCAAAAGGCGCCTTATGGAAAGCCCATGAAAATGTTTTTGAGTTATAGAACACTTCAACGGTCAATGTCACTTCTGGTTGAAAGCATAAAGCTTTCACCGAATTCTCCTAAAAAATGTTTCATCTTTAAATCCATGTCTAGGCATATCATTGTGCTGGTTTTTAGTTTTTGCCAGTTTTTGCCACTTTTTGCCGGTTAAAACCGGTTTAAACCGGCAAATGGCATAAACTAGTTTTTGCCGGCAAAAATGCCAACCCTGCCTGAACGATCATATCAATGCTGGACCCAACCTGATAGCCGATCTCACCGGCCTTCTCATTCGCTTCCGGTTCAGACGAGTGGGTCTCGTAGCTGACCTCGAGAAGGCATTCCTGCAAGTGGCACTGCATCCAGCTGAGCGGGACGTCACGCGCTTCCTATGGAGGGAAAGAGCGACCGATCCTGTCCCGACGACTTACCGGATGACAAGAGTTATCTTCGGCGTAAATGCGTCCCCGTTCCTCCTCCAAGCCACCATCAGGCATCACCTGAAGCTCTACGAACAGTCCGACCCCGAGCTGGTGACATTGCTGAAGCGAGACATATACTGTGATGACCTTATCACTAGTGTCGACACGGAAGAGGAGGCGGAGGAGGTCAAAGCTCGGACACAGTATATCTTCCTTGATGCAGGGATGGTCATGACAAAGTGGGACAGGAGTGCCTCGGGTGAAACGGCTGAAAGGAATATCGGTGATTGTGGGGAAACTGACCGGAAGGTACTGGGGGTGACCTGGCAGCCTGCTTCAGACGTTCTGGAGATGTGCACACGCACACTGGCAGAGTACGCTGCGGCGTTGCCGGAGACCAAGCGGACCATCCTGAAGATCGCCGCTGCGTTCTATGACCCGCTTGGCTTGATGGCGGCTTTCTCTGTCAGAGTCAAGATGCTCCTGAGGGCCCTGTGGAGACAAGGTCTGGACTGGGACGAACCAATCACGTCAGAGTCACGATTCCAATGGAGAAAGTGGCTTGCAGAGCTAACGCAGTTCGTGGCCTTCAGGGTTCCACGCTTCTACGGGCGACATGACGAAGTCTTCCAGTTACATGTCTTCTGTGATGCCAGTAAAGACGCTCTCGCCGCAGTAGTGTACATTCGCAGCAGTACTGATGCACCCGTCCAGGAAACGGCACTGGTCATCTGCAAAACACGACTCGCGCCGTCACAAGGCCTATCAATTCCCAGACTCGAACTTACTGCGGCGCTCATCGGAGCGCGTCTCCTAACCTTCGTGAAGAAGCACCTGCCAATCGCGCCGTCAGCAGAGTTCCTCTGGACGGACTCATCAGTCACCTTGCACTGGATCCGAAGTAATGCACTGAGGTGGGGAACGTACGTTCGGAACAGAGTCCACGAAATCCAAGCACTGACCTCACCTGACGCCTGGAGGCATTGCCCAGGGGTGGACAATCCCGCAGACCTGCCATCTCGAGGAGCATCATCGTCAGCACTGGCAAATGACCTGTGGACACGTGGCCCCGTGTGGCTTCGCATGCCTCACGCACAGTGGCCGGCACGGTATGAAGATGAGGAGGTACCAGCTGACTGCACGGTAGAGCAAGAGAAACAAGAAGTGAGCGTCAACGCGTGCTCCACCGCGGAAGATGTCGCTGGAATCGGTCAGCTGGTGCCACTGGAGAACTACAGCTCCCTGAAACGTCTGCATCGCGTCACTGCCTGGGTCATTCGCTGGACGAAGAAGGCACGGCGAGAAGAAGACACGGCGGGAGAACTCACCCAGGAGGAGATCCGGAGAGCTGGCGACCTATGGGTTGCACAGGCTCAGACCGACGCATTTAAAGATGAGAAAGCAAGGCTTCAGAGCGGACAAGATGTTCCCGGGACTTCAGATGTCTTCCATCTGAATCCGCATCTAAACAACGGGTTCCTGAGAGTGACCGGCCGTCTCCAAGAATCAGAACTGACTGCACAAGAAAAGTACCCGCTGATACTGCCCAGCAAACACCGCTACACCAAGCTGGTCATTCTAGACCTGCATGAGAACCTCTGTCATGCAGGGATACAGCAGACAATGTTCGCTCTCCGATCCCGGTTCTGGGTACCCCGGAGTCGCCAGACAGTGCGCCAGACCATACATGGCTGTGCAAGATGTCGGGTGTTTCGCCTGAAGCCACTGTCACAGGAGAGGGCGCCGCTTCCCAAGGAGAGGGTATGCAGTGGCGCACCCTTCTCGCGCATCGGTGTCGACCTGGGTGGACCCCTGTACTTCAAAGATGGCGAGAAATCTGAACCGGTGAAGGCCTACTTCGTCCTCTTCACCTGCACTGCCGTCCGCGCCGTCCACCTGGAGCTTGTGGAAACGCTTTCGACAGAAGACTTCCTGGCGGCCTTCGAGCGGTTCGTGGCTCGTCGTGGAAAACCCACAGTAGTTTTCAGCGACAACGCCACAAACTTTCGAGGAGCCGCATCCCGCTTGACCCATCTAGGCGTGACCTGGAAGTTTAACGTGCCAAGAGCCCCCTGGTGGGGAGGATTTTTTGAACGAATGGTGCGGACAACAAAAGACGCTCTGAGGAAGACATTGTACAAGAGCCTGATGACGTTCTCCGAGCTGCAAACAGTGTTATGTCGCATTGAGAGTGTCATAAATGCGAGACCACTTTCACCGCTCACTGAGGACATCAACGACGTACGGACTCTTTCGCCTGATGACTTCCTGCGAGATACGTCACATGAGTCTGCGGAGCGTGCCGCCACGGACCACCCGGAGACGGATGGCGAACCTGGGCGCTCTCTGGGAGCAAGATGGAGGTACCGACGGCAGGTCCTTCAGCACCTATGGCAAAGGTGGGCACGAGAGTACGTGAGGGAGCTGAGAGTACCGCGCCGTGAGCCAAATGACCAGCCCAAGGTGGGGGACATGGTCTTGATCGGCGATAACACGAAGACATCACCAGCACTCTGGCAGATGGGCAAAATCACCCAGCTGCACCAGGGACGGGACGGTTTGACCCGGTCTGCGACAGTGCGAACAGCTGGTGGTGAGCTCGCGCGGCCAGTCCAGAGACTGTACCCCCTGGAAGCAACCTGACTTCCAGTGTCACAGAGACCGGTACAACAGAAGCGCGTGCTGGCGCACTTTCGCGGGGGGAGGATGTTGTGAAATGCGGAGCTCCCTCGCATCATCCTCACGCGACCAATACCGATGTTTTGATGGTTAACCGGGATGTGGAAATACAGGACGGTTGGACCCCAGACCTCAAGTGTTTTATCACAATTAGATTAGATTAGATTTATGAATCGATTCTGATAATGGATGTTAGACGTTAGACACTATGGACGGTAGATTAGAACAAGACTTCGATTTATAAATCTAATCTAATCTAATTGTGATAAAACACTTGAGGTCTGGGGTCCAACCGTCCTGTATTTCCACATCCCGGTTAACCATCAAAACATCGGTATTGGTCGCGTGAGGATGATGCGAGGGAGCTCCGCATTTCACAACAGACCTATGGGTGTTGCATGGAAAGAATGGGACCAAAAGTTGGCAGTGCCCCCCTTAATTGAAGAATTTCCGTCAATACTGGTGTGAGCTATGCCAGTCCATTTGTTATAGCATTTGTGCTAAATTTTTCAAGACCATAAGCTTTGCATCTACTGATTTGAGTTGGTGACACTATGTGATGCTTGCCCATTCCAGTTTAACCAGCAATGGCGCCACTACCAGTCAACAATGCAGGTGTTCCGGCTCCAACCAGATCAATACAACCAGAACCTGGATGAGCTGACCATGTTTGTGGCACAGGTAATACTTTTTTCAGCCTCATGAAGGTTCTAAACTGTTGACTGATGGCTGGAGAACTGACACTATTATCCTAGCATTGTGTAGGTATCTGTCATTAAGTTTAAAAGAAATATATGTTTTAATGGTGCTTGATTCATTACTTTTAAATTGAAACTGAAATTTATATGCAATGCTAGCAAACTTCAAGCTAACATTTCCAAGTTCTAATGTCTTCGTGGTGGGAATATTCAAGCTATAGGGGTCTATGTTTTAGCTTTTATCCTGTGACCTCTCATACCTAACCTGAACATATCACCCCGGAGCAACATATACATAGTAAAGGTAGGTAGTTAATTGCTAACAAAAGTTTGACAAAAGGGGAAGTCTGACAAAGAACTGAGAGGGGTCTCCAGTTACTTATAACTTGCTAGGGAAAACAAAGGGACGTTTCGTCTTGAAAAGCTGAAACCAAATGTTACAAAAACTGTTAAGCCATTTTATCTCATCAGACATCTGACGAAGCTCTGTCCGACAGGTGGCTCACTGCTACCCGGAGACGCTGGCGCTCTACCCCCAGGAGCTGATGGACATGCTCCGACAGTACAGCACCGTCATTGACACAGACATGCGCATGGTGAGACATGACCAGGATGAGAGGGGATTCCTATTTTGTGTTTTGCTGTCAGAGTGCTGTTTTTTAGCGATATGATAGCTGTGCGACGATGTGCAATAGTATCAGTGGCCATAAACGTAATAGGTATGCGGAACTGAAAGTCATAAACTCAAACTCCAACGCAAACGGAAGATTTTGCGATAATGGAAATGTGGAGTACCTTTTCGCTAGAACCCGATGCGTCTTAATCATCTTTTGACGTTCGATTTATTTATAGACGTTCGTGAAGGCCCTGATACTGCTGCGGAACAAGAACCTGCTGACTCCCACGGCACTGCTGGAGCTGTTCTTTGAGCTGCTGCGCTGTCAGGACAAGGCGCTGAGGGATTTTCTGCAGAGTCACATCGTCAGTGACATCAAAAACGTGAACGCTAAACGGAAAAACATGAAACTCAACTCGGTAAGAAATCAGAAACAGATGAGCGTGGAGTTCAATTCGTCTTTGTTTTCTTGTGCGGAGAATCAAATAATTGCACACTGCAGAAGTAGGTATAGCTAAGGCTTTCACTTTCTTATTGGACGTGCGTTCGTGTAAAAGACTACGCCGACTGACGATGCATTGTCTCGCTCCTCTTATCCACAGACATTGCAGAACTTCATGTACAGCATGCTCAAGGACAGTCACGCCAAGGCGGCCAAGATCGCGCTGGACGTCATGATCGACCTCTACAAGAAGGGCGTGTGGAACGACCAGAAGACGGTAAATGTCATCACCACCGCCCTCTTCTCCAAGACCACCAAGGTGATGGTGACTGCGCTGAAGTTCTTCCTGGGCAAGGACGAGGACGAGGAAGATTCGTCAGACAGCGAGTCAGAGGTGCGGACTTCGCCGAGCAAATGTTGGCGATGTTACGGCGATGTTGAGCATGTTTACACACGATGGTCATGCGTTTTGTGTCTCCAAATTTCTCTTGCTGCAAAATCTGTAAGCACACCACTGTAACTCCGAAGGGCTACATTTTATTCCTCGATTTAAAGACGGTGGCATCTTTTTACTAAGATGTCGCTGGAGTCCTATCTATCACACCGTTCCGTGCTTCTATATTCAGGATACTGAAATCCTTCTCCTCCACGCCGCAACCCCCCTCCGGGCTGGACAGGCAACTTTATCTCATGCGGGCTGCTCCCTTGGAGCGGCACCGCTGCTCCCGAGGGAGCGCACCCCGTAGCCGGGTGCAGTGAGTGCCTTGGGGCTGGGTGGCCTGTCCTCTGGACGGGCTCAGCCCCGGCGACTCACTAGGGTGCCTGCCCAGACCAATGTCTCCCCCTAACGGGTGTCTACTAATTAATGAGAAAAAGTTCAGATAGTTAATACGAACCTTTAATGGTAATAAATAATCTGCATATCTCACACGCTGAAAGACATGTCTGTTGCGAATGTCAATCACAGTTTCACAGTTTCGCTACAGAAACAGGATCCCCTTCGATGGGGTGCGAAGGGCAAGGTGAGGGGTGTCAATGTGCCTGCTGGTGTGACGCCACTATATTTGCCACTATTACGTCGTAATTTTTGCTGTAGAAAATGTACAATTGAGTACCGGAGGTGCACACAGGCACCTGAGGCCACAAAAGCGCAGCAACGCAGAGAATAACAGCGTTTGCGTCGGCTAATCAGGGGCACGCTGTCAACTGGTGAGAACGCATGGATATGGTAATGGGTGAAGAGAGCTGTTTGACCTACCCAGAAACAGAAATGTCGTCTATTGCCGTTTTGTATGCTCCTGTGAGGGGTGATACAACTGCAACCTGTGGACACGTCTCCTTGCCGGTTTCCAGCTTACTGATGTGGCTAGACCGTCTCTCCGGAAGGGGAGGTACTGCCAGTCACTTGTCCAAAATGAGTTATCATTGGGAGGATGTTCTATAGTGCGAGGGACGGCAAATAGATGCGTTGATTTCTACCTTTTAGGGCAGCAAGGTAAAAAAAAGACGAATACTACCCAAATGGCGACTATGCACTCTGATTTCACGTAGTTTTCGTCCATTATCCAATTAAAACCATCACAATGTTGGAGGGGGTCGGCGTACCCATGAAAGATCGAGAAGGTAATCCACCCTGCGTGTCGCAGCTGTGGCCGATTGAATACTTCTGAGGCTTTGTCAAGAAAGAAATATATCCAGGGGACAAAACTGTAGTTTTGGACCGACATCTGAAGACGGGAAGGCGGGAATTATCGGTCTCGTTTGACGCGGAGGTGCCGCGACGTTTGATCAAGGGGTTCGGGTGGCGCGTGCGGCGTGACATGAAACATGGTGTGCTCAGTGTGCTGCGCTGAAGGTATTTGATAATCAATAGATGGATGCATAAGCATGCAAATTTTCGACTATGTAAGTTACAAAATACCCAAGATATAAGCCTTTAAACTTTTTCTCATTAATTAGTAGACACCCGTTATATCCTATCATCCTCCCGGCTCTGAAATGGTCTCATTGGACCGAAAGAGCCTAACCCAAAAAAAAACAAACAAACAATCCTATCTATTCACGATGTGTTTAATGATCGCCGTCTTTTTCAGGATGATACAACGGCGGCAAAGGCTGTTATCACCTCATCCAACTTTACCAAGAAGACCAGAAAGAAGAAGAGAGCCCTGGAAAAGGCAAAGGCCCTGGCTAATGTGAGTTACACAAGCCGTGAGCGTTCATCTGGTTTTGCACCGCTCACTGTCTTTCACTCATCGTTTCAAATAATTTCACTGCATTTTCCTTCGTTATGTTTTACAAAAGTAATTTTGTCATCTTGTACCTAATGAATAATTCATGTGACAACCCATCTTCAGAAATCGAAAAAGAAGAAAAAGAAGAGTGAGTCGTTCAACTTCTCAGCGCTGCACCTGGTGAACGACGCCCAGGGTTTGGCTGAGCGGCTCTACAAGAAGCTGGAGACACTGAATGAGCGCTATGAGGTGGGTGCAACCGGCAACGGGTAGGCGATGCGAAGGCCTTCTCCCCCAAAAGTTCGTCCGCATCTGCGGTTGGAGACCCTGCCTTTTATCAGGCTGCTTTATGTTCGTCTTTTTTTGTAATAGTCATTTTCTCAGTTTAGTTGTTATCGCCCTTGAGGTTAGAACATGTGCAAACCGGTTTCTGTGCCTACTTCAAGAGTGACCAGTCCCATTTCGATCAAACTTGGTATTAGATCGCCGATATTTTTTTGTTAGGCTATAGCATCGATTATTCCACTCTCCCGTTTCATTCCGTCCCCGTTTCGTCCACAGGTGAAGCTGATGATGATGAGTCTGATTTCGCGTCTGGTGGGCATTCACGAACTGTTCCTGTTCAACTTCTACCCGCTGCTGCAGCGTTTCCTGCAGCCCCACCAGAGGGATGTGACGCGCATCCTGCAGTATGCTGCTCAGGTCGGTCACCGGATGATATTCTGACCTTATACACGCTCATAATTTGATGCATCTTGGGGCATTAGTATATTTTGTCCAAAAGCGATCCAAGGCATTAGAACACTTTTTGGCGTGGGTGGTAATTGGTGCCGCTCAATTAGATTAGCCGTTTTGAGGCTGTGGTTTCTGAACTAAGATGTCGCTTATCCCAAGCACCGCCGTCATCGTTCAAAGTTCACTGGCTCACTTTGCCATTATTGTGTAAATCGGTGTTGTATGGGTCAACGTCTCTCTATCCTGTTCTTTAGGCGTCCCACGTGCTGGTACCGCCGGATGTGATCCAGCCGATGCTGATGACCATCGCCAACAACTTCGTCACCGAGCGCAACTCGTCCGAGGTCATCACCGTTGGGTGAGTCGAGTGGTTCTGCTAACTGGAGAGGCTCTTTGCTACCGACAGAGACGCAGTACATAGTACCGTCAAAGACGGGTGATTCCAACAGAGACTATATAATTCCGACTTAGATGTGGGACAGACAGTTATTTTATATTTGTTTTTACACTCAGTTTGGTCATTGGTGCAACTTTAGCTGAAGGTTGGCGCAGCCATTGCGATATCACGCTTCTTTTCTTTATTGTGCTATTTTGTTCGAGTTTAATGCCACGAGTCATATGCTTAGAACGGAAGCATGATTCGATGATGGCGTCATTTCTTATTCATGTAGACTTATTTTCGCCAACATTTTCCCCCGCCGACAGTATCAACGCGATCCGCGAGGTGTGCGTGCGTTGTCCTCTGGCGATGGGGGAGGACCTGCTGCAGGACCTGGCGCAGTACAAAAAGTACCGCGACAAGAACGTGATGATGGCGGCGCGCTCTCTGATCCAGCACTACCGCACCACCCACCCCGAGCTGCTGCACAGAAAGGACCGCGTGAGTCCTGGAGAACGTTTGGGGACTGTGTAGTCGCGTGACTCGTGCTTGGGATTTTGGGGTGTTTGGATGGAATTAAGTGGATAAGGTTTGAATAAAATAATGTGTTAAGCTGGTATGTGAGTCGGGTTCTTGTGATAAAAAATTGTTAATCGGAATATCAGGATGGTCCTTTTCTTGATTATCGTTGACCTTTTGACTATTGGTATGCCGTTCTCATCTTTATGAAAGGATTCATATCTCGCACACTCTTCTCCATGCAACAACAGCTAATGCCGTCACTTCAGCATCTTGTGCCTGTTTACAGTTACCTGCACCGAACTGCTTTGACTGTGTTTGACCGTGACTGGTTTGTGTCGTGGTTCCAGGGCCGTCCGACAGAGGCCACTGGTGAGCTCGATCGGCCGGCCTACGGAGCCGTCAGCGCGCGTGACTATATCCCCGGCGCCGAGGTGTTGGACCCGGAGAACCCCACAGAGGACGACGGCAGAGGCGACGAGGTGAGGACGTGGGAAAAGATGGTGTGGGGCACGATTAGATCAGGAGTGATAAGTGGAACGTTAGCTGAGGCAGTGTGCCTGTAGGCAGACATAATTTTGGCGTGAAATAAACCAGGAACGTTGTGAGATAGATCGATGATTATTGCATTCCATATAAAGCACAGTGATTGATGCTCTACATTATTGTCTGAGACAACTCTGCCGTCAGCATAAGAACGAATATCTCTGCGTTTACCGCTTAATCTCCAGCCAGCCCCACTGTGTCCATATATCCGTGCCGCTTTCCCCCCGTCTAACACCGCCTCCCCCTCGCTGTTCCCCAGGACGACTCTGACGGGTGGGTGAACGTGTCGGATGGAGAAATTGATGACGAGGAAGGCGATGGTGAGGACGCCGAGCTGGAGGAGGGCGCTGAGGACTCAGAAGATGAGGAGGGTGAAGCTGAGGAGGGCGCCGAAGGAGAGGAATCGGGCGAGGAGGTCGAGGACGAAGAAGGGGAGGAGGAAGACGATGAGGGAGAGGAAAGCGACGAGGATGAAAAAGTGGAAGAGAAAGCAAAAACAAATGTGAAGACTCCGCAGAGGTCCAGGAAATCGTCAGTCAGTAGCAAGGTGGTAAGTTATAGACAGGTCGGCTGAATGGCCTGGATTTTTACGTCAGTTTCAGACACTGGGCGGTGAAACAGATGAGGGCATTTCATATCACTGCCAGCCAGCCCTAGCAGCTGCTTCTTGGTCAATCGCGGAACTTATATCAGACATTTGAACCGTCCCCGGCGTCGACAACTTTCAGCCAAACTTTAATGCTCTCAATGATGGCTGCTAATGTCGCTCTTTTTAAAATGTCCCTGGTGTCATGGTTTGAATTACTTGAGACCTATGGCTCGCCCAGGTCACGCTCCCGGCTCAGTGACCTCGTTGACCTCTTAGCCCGTGCGTTCGGAAGACAAACCAACTTGTCGGCGTCGAAGTTGCGTCTTTCTACCGGGTTCGGCCGTAGTGTGACTCTTTGTCGGCCGAACTACAACCGGCAGTCGCGGCCCGTGACCTATATGCGGCGACATTTGGCCTTGGGGCATGTTTCCGTGACCTATTCGTGACCCGGAGACGGTAGCGCTGACCTCTGGGTAATCCGCGGCGGGCGTCCGGTCTGAGAAGTTCAGAGTGTTTCTCTGATTGGTGCCGTAATGTCACAATGGTGGAAGCTTAGCATTTCCGAAGCTGGCCGGTGATGTGTGCACCTTTGCCTTTTATCGTTACCTGATGATACAATTCGGAGAGCTGACACGTTGGAGATATGCTTGTAACTAAGGGATCGGATCCCTGGTATGACTGAAATTTTGTCGACAACACATTGATTCGGCAATAAGCCAATAAGGACCAAGGAAGTTGAAAATTCGCGACTGCGTCCACGTTTTTAGGGGTTTGATATAAAACAATTAACGCGATTGTAGAATGTAGGTCTACACAGACTGCACAATGCACATTGGTGAACAATGCGGAGGACGTTCATGTGTAGTGCATTGAAGCCTGAAAATCTACACCGGTCTTTCTCAACCGGTGGTTTTATTTAAATCATAAGCGCCGCGAATCATAAGGGATGCGTTACAAAGGTGTTCGGTCACAAATTGTATGCCGACACAGCCGTCTATAGTCTTGGTTTTGTTAATCTTTATGTCTCGATGTGTAAGACTGGATCTCATGAGTTTGATTTCAGCAGTCTTTCTAACCCAACATCACTCAGAAACTTTGTGAATTAAATTGACTCTCTCCCTCTGCAGTCTCGCTCGTCACAGAAGTCCGGCTCGGCGCTGAGCACGCTCTCCAAGGAGGAGAAGATGGCACGTGCCTCGGCCGTGGTGTCGTCCCGCCTGCTCACTGACTCTGACTTCCGGAGGATCGAGCGCGCGCAGCTGGCCAAACAGATGGACCCGCTGAAGAAGGGAGGCAAGAGGAAGGCGGATGAGATGATCGAGGAGGAAGAGGAGAGGTGGGTGATGATAGGGAGAGAATGACAAACAAGTTGGGTGGTGATATTTTGAAGGGGGTGGTGGGTGGTGTAGTTGGGGTGGAGATGGCGAGGTGAATTACTTATTATTGTGCTGGGTCGGGGATTGAGCTATACGCATGACGTAAGGGTTGTAGTATCAGGATGACATATCTGAGGAGTATCAGAGTTACCCGGAGAAAAAGCGGGATATGTGGAAATAAGCGGAGATGCGTGCTGAAAACTTCGACGCAATTCCTAGGGGTAGTGCGAACATGTAATTACGCTTCCGGAGATCGGGTTGGAGGATAAGGTTTGCTGCACAGGCTAGCTCGTGTAACTGAGGTTAGCCGTCTTGTATTACACTAAGTTCCGGTAGTTTTCTGTCCAGGATGCTGGTCCAGAGAAGTTTTAAGTGCGTGCTATTGAAGCATTTGCGTGTGTCACACTATTAGAGAAATGTTATTCCATCAATCGCTTATTTTATGGGGTGGTTGAAAAGTCGACCTTAACTAAACCATTGCACTTTTAATTTAGTAACACCTTTCGTTAATGTGTCTTTTCGGAATGTATAATGCTCTCATTGGTCTAAGACGCCTCTCTTGTTACAGGGGTGAGATTGTGACGCTGAAAAACATTGAGAGGATTCATAAGAAGCCCAAAGCAGATAAGGAGACCCGACTGCTCACCGCAAAGGTAAGTGTCTTTTGCCGTTCATTGCTGGCTGTGGACGAATAGCAGAACCAGTTCATTTTAATCGTTAGGAAGTTGAATCGTTGAATCGTTTATACCCGCTTAATCATTTCAATTGATTTTGTTTTGATGTCTTGCTTCGTTTTTATTTATAGCTTAGGTATCCCTCACTCGAGCATTATCTTTATAATGCTGTTACGCTGTAGTTGATAGCTCTTACATAACCGCTCTCTAATTCCTGTTTGGTAACATTTTTTCTACAATGATAGGTCTGTGAGCCCCTGTTTCGCGTGATAGGGGACTTCTGGAACTATGTCGAGTCGATCGTCTGGCATCGAGAAGCTGATCGTCATACTTCAGTACAAATTGATATCTTGATTCGTGCGCTACCGGTACTCGACTTCGACCCAAAGGCAAAACGCTTTTAGTGTTTTGTCCAGACGCGAACACAGAACACACGGCATTGATATGAACGTCCGGTTCGTGTAACCACGTCACTTTGCCAAATGTTTTGTGCAGTTAACTGATGCTTGCCTTGTCCCGTGCGCTCCCATTACAGGCGGGAAAGCCAGACCGAGAGCAGCTGAAGTTTGGCCGACCTAAGGGCCGGGTCAATCCGAACGCAAGTACCACCAACAAGGAAAAGAAGAAGACCAAGAACTTCATGATGCTCCGGCATAAACTGAAGAACAAAACCAAAAAGTCGTTCAGCGAGAAACAGGTTCGTACTTGTTCCATTGGAATCTGTAAACATCTTAACTATGGAAACTCAGTTAATCAAACGGCAGGAGCGAAAGATCTTTCCTAGGCAGCAGTTTTGTTTCTCATTATTTGGACCAGCTCATTGATAATTTTTGACATTTTTTCTCTTTGTTCGCAACTGGTTTGAATGATGGGGATTGGGGACCTACTGGTTTTCAGTTCTCACTGAAAAATTTCTTCCGTCTTTTTCAGAGGTCATTGCGGGATTCGTTGCTGAAACGAAAGAAGAAGTCGAAATACTAGTGCCTAGTTTGACAATATTCATACTGAAGAGCTGCAATTGTTAGGGATACTTGCCCGGTGGCTCCTCATTTGTATTCGTTTCATTGATACAGTGTGTACTGATACTGGGGAAATATCACCCGAAGGTGACGAAGTGAAGGATCCAAGTGAGGTGAGGATGTTAAACGTGACTGTTTTATAACATTGTCCGCTGCTGCCTCGAGTGAAATGTGACGCGTTGCATATTGTTGATCGAAAACATAGGTTAATAATGAAACAAATGTCGATGTTCTGTTTGCTCATCAACTGCATATCATAGGTAGTTCCATATCATAGTTCAGTTTTGCTTTATCGGAATTCCTTACTCACACATCAGTTAAATTTTTAGTTATCAACACATTCGAAAGGACAGTTTGAAGTGCATTGTGAGACAATACGAGATTTCATCCACGTTCGCAATGAACACGAACAGCTATACTCTTCGGTATTACGTGCAAACTTTTGACGCTGATGATATGTGCAGTGTGCCCTCTGCAGTTTGGGCGCATAAAGCCCAAATCAAATCCTTATCAGCATGGAAACTTCTGAAGAGTATCTTACATCTGGTATCAATATCCTTCATCGAGAAAGTTTTTTCCTTCTAATAGTCGCTGTTTTTCCCGACTCTTCAAACTCAGCCTTTCCCCGTGAAGTGGCCTCTGGGCCTCTTCTCCACTACCGGTTTGGTGTCGTGCGTCTTCGCGGCCGGTCGATATCGAATAGGTACGATACGGGGACGTTCTAGGAATGATCTCGGTGGATCGGGACGCCGTCTTTGTGACCGGAAACGGCACCACTTCCGTTCGATAGGCACACTCCTGTTCGGTCGAGTTCCTTGAAGACCGGTCTACAGGCCGCGCAAGTTGCATAGATAGTAACGGTAAATTATACTCTTAGCATTCCAGGAGTCGACGGGGGCTTTCTGGGACGATTGCTCCTCTGAAGGCTGTGAAGTGTGAAGAAGTTAGTGAGTAGTCGAATTGGTAAACTGGCCTTCGTGGGACTTCGGTGCAATACCTCATCCGTTGTGCAGGGCGCCTGCCTATGCTCTCGTTTATCGGTACGCCCCCCGAACACCCACCAACTTGCCTCGTGTGTAATGCACCGACACCAAATTTGGGATTCCAAATCGACGATGCGAAACCCATCTTCTTCTCTTGCAAGCCCCTCTGCCAGCTTTTGTATGTAACTTCAATTTAAAACCCGTTTGGCAAGGTCATGCGACGGCTAATGCGTATTGATATAATATAAACGTTTTGTCGGTACCAATGGATTTGTATGTAACTATAGGCAGGTAATCCCTAGAGCGTAATGCATCGCGACGCTGCCTCTCGTTTCAGATTTGACGTCTTTTTACCGGTGTGGCTGGCAGCTCGATTCTTGAAACTTGACTGTTCTAGGTTTTATATCAAAGCGGATATGACATACATTTAAGCAGAGCGGCCTTTTCTACGCATCAAATTGAAATGCGTGGGTTGCGTTCAGTGATTGGTATACAAAGTTACATAGCGGAGAATACGAGTACAGTGCAACAGTAGCGGCGGAACACCTTCAATTAAGGGGGGGGGGGGGGCACTGCCGACTTTTGGTCCCATTCTTTCCATGCAACGCCCATAGGGCTAATGTTAAAATGCCCAAATCAAAGGGGGGCACGGTGCCCCGGTGCCCTCCCCGTTCCGCCGCCTATGCAGTGCAATATACTTTCGTAGAAGGTTTATGCATAAATTACCAAGCGATCTGCAGATGAAGAGAAGCATCAAACCATTCGCATTCGGTGATTTTGGGGGTGGGGGACAGGGTGCCTGGTCGCGGCTAAATCCCATGGTCAATGGACACGTGATCATAAATCCCAACCTGCAGTGCCGTTTGCTGGCGACAAACTTCCGCCCGCTTGCCGCTGAACATTGAATTTGAGTGGGTTCCCAACTCTCCTGATATCCCCCTGAATGACATCGTAACTTCGCTAATCTAACGCTGACCGCTCTTCCACCTATCCCCCACGGATTCACCACCTAAAAACCTTCCATTGACCCCTTGGCCACCCCTGGCTGGCCTGACGGCTAACACCGACCCTGACCTCCGCTGACCTCACCCCTCCCCTCCCCCGACCCTGTCCACTCCTGGCCCTGACCGTGGGCGCCCTGTCCGTGCAGAGTGCCGGCGACTCGCCCGCCGCCGCCTCCGGCCGCGTCGCGTCACTACCGACGGGCTTCCGGGTGTGGCGGCGCGTCGGCGTCGGCACCGGCACTGTCGACGGGCGCCGAGCGGGTATTTTGGGCCGCCGCCGCCGCTGCGACTCAGGTAAGCGCCCGCCTCGCTCCTCTGAGTCGAGCCGACGGCGAAACGCCGGCTGCGGGTGACGGCCGCGACGACCACGACGGTCCCCCGTCGACCACGACGGCACAACGTGGTCGAACTGTCGGTGGGAGGGAGGGGGCTGGTGAAGCATGCGGTCACGACCCTCTCGGGCTGAGCTGGCTAGTTCTAGTTTTCTTAGGCGTGGATGGACGGAGGAACTCCACGTAATGAGCGCATCGAGAAAGTGATATCAGATTGCGTTTTGCGGCAGACACAAAGCGTGTGACGAGTTACTTACTTTGTTTATCTTGTTTGTTATTTCTTTTCGGCATCATCTACTATTATAAATCTTAAAAAGTCCGCCGCCGTCGGGGTTACGCAGCCGGCGTTACTCCCAAAAACGGCTATTGCGGCGCCGTCGATTGACGCAGGAGGGTGAAATTTTCACGTCTCGTGGGTCACGTAATTCAACAGGTCGTATTAAATTTTGGGCACGATGCGGCCGGGGGTGCGCCCGTGGCGCGTGCTCATGTGCGCCATGGGGTTAGCATTAGAATCGCGACCGGCGCCGAGCAGAGGGCACGTGCTTTAGGCTCAGTTGTTCGCTTAAAAAACTGAGTGGAAACAATCACAGCCGGCAGTTCATTGACCTTTGACAACAAAGGCCGACACAAGGCACCGCTCGCCAAGGGGATTCGCCAGTAAATACAATTAATTTGTTTTTGCAATATCTCAGCCGTTTCTGGGCCGATTTAGCTGAAACTTGGACTGTCGGTGGTAGTGTAGTGTAGTGTAGGGTAGGGTAGGGTAGGGTAGGGTAGGGTAGGGTAGGGTAGGGAAGGGTAGGGTAGGGTAGGGGTAGGGTAGGGTAGGATAGGGTAGTGTAGGAGTAGGGTAGGGTATGGTAGGGTAGGCGTAGGGTAGGGTAGGTTAGGTTAGGGTAGGGTAGGGTAGGGTAGGGTAGTGTAAGGGTAGGGTAGGGTAGGGTAGGGTAAGGTAGGGTAGGGTAGGGTAGTAGGGTAGGGTATAGGGACTAGGGTAGGGTAGGGTAGGGTAGGGTAGAGTTAGGTAGGGTAGAGTTAGGTAGGGTAGGGTAGGGTAGGGTAGTAGGGTAGTAGAGTAGGGTAGGGTAGGGTAGTAGGGTAGGGTAGGGTAGGGTAAGGTAGGGTAGGGTAAGGTAGGGTAGGGAAGGGTAGGGTAGGGGTAGGGTAGGGTAGGGTAGTGTAGGGTAGGGTAGGGTAGGGTAGTGTAAGGGTAGGGTAGGGTAGGGTAGGGTAGGGTAGTAGGGTAGGGACTAGGGTAGGGTAGTGTAGGGTAGGGTAGGGTAGGGTAGGGTAGTAGGGTAGGGACTAGGGTAGGGTAGTGTAGGGTAGGGTAGGGTAGGGTAGGGTAGGGTAAGGTAGGGTAGGGTAGGGTATGGTAGGGTAGTAGGGTAGGGTAGGGTATGGTAGGGTAGGGTAGGTTAGGGTAGCAGAGTAGGGTATGGTATGGTAGGGTAGGGTAAGGTAGGGTAGAGTAGAGTAGAGTAGGGTAGGGTAGGGTAGGGTAGGGTAGGGAGTAGGGTAGGATAGGGGTAGGGTAGGGGTAGGGTAGGGGTAGGGTAGGGAAGGGTAGGGTAGGGTAGGGTAGTGTAAAGGTAGGGTAGGGTAGGGTAGTGTAGGAGTAGGGTAGGGTAGGGTAGGGTAGGGTAGGGTAGGGTAAGGGTAGGGTAGGGTGGGGTAGGTTAGGTTAGGTTAGGGTAGGGTAGGGTAAGGGTAGGGTAGTGTAAGGGTAGGGTAGGGTAGGGTAGGGTAGGGTAGGGTAGGGTAGGGTAGGGTAGGGTAGGGTAGGGTAGGGTAGTAGGGTAGGGTAGGGACTAGGGTAGGGTAGGGTAGGGTAGGGTAAGGTAGGGTAGGGTAGGGTAGGGTAGAGTTAGGTAGGGTAGGGTAGTAGGGTAGGTTAGGGTAGGGTAGGGTAAGGTAGTAGGGTAGGGTAGAGTAGGGTAGGGTATGGTAGGGTAGGGTAGGGTAGGGTAGGGTAGTGTAGGGTAGGGTAGGGTAGGGTAGGGGGTAGGGTAGGATAGGGTAGGGGTAGGGCACGGGTAGGGTAGGGTAGGATAGGGTAGGTTAGGGTAGTAGAGTAGGGTAGGGTAGGGTAGTAGGATAGGGTAGGGTAGGGTAAGGTAGGGTAGGGTAGAGTAGGGTATGGTAGGGTAGGGTAGGATAGGGTAGGGTAGGTTAGTGTAGGAGTAGGGTAGGGTAGGAAAGGGTAGGGTAGGGTAGGGTAAGGTAGGGTAGTGTATGAGTAGGGTGGGGTAGGGTAGGGTAGTGTAGGGTAGGGTAGGGTAGGATAGTGTAGGGGTAGGGTAGGGTAGGGTAGGGTAGGTTAGTGTAGGAGTAGGGTAGGGTAGGGTAGGGTAAGGTAGGGTAGTGTATGAGTAGGGTAGGGTAGGGTAGGGTAGGATAGTGTAGGGGTAGGTACCCCTACGCGACCGGTTAGGGTATAGTGTAGGGGTAGGGTAGGGTAGGGTAGGATAGAGTAGGGTAGGTTAGTGTAGGAGTAGGGTAGGGTAGGGTAGGGTAGGGTAGGGTAGGATAAGGTAGGGTAGTGTATGAGTAGGGTAGGGTAGGGTAGGGTAGGGTAGGGTAGGATAGTGTAGGGGTAGGGTAGGGTAGGGTAGGGTAGGTTAGGGTCGGGTAGGGTAGGGGTAGGGTAGGGTAGGGTAGGGTAGGGAAGGGTAGGGTAGGGTAGGGTAGGGTAGGGAAGGGTAGGGTAGGGTAGGGTAGTGGTAAGATAGGGTAGGGTAGTGTAGGGGTAGGGTAGGGTAGGGTAGGAGGGTAGGGTAGGGTAGTGAAGGGGTAGGGTAGGGTAGGGAAGGGTAGGGTAGGGTAGTGCAGGGGTAGGGTAGGGTATGGTAGGGTAGTGTAGGGGTAGGGTAGGGGTAGGGTAGGGTAGGGGTAGGGTTGAGTTA